CACTACTATATCAAACAGTGTCACATCAGTTTATCGCCCTGTACAGTGTGACTGTTTGATCCCAGTTTATCCCACTCACAGTATCAAACGGTGTCACATCAGTTTATCGTCCTGTACAGTGTGACTGTTTGATCCCAGTTTATCCCACTCACAGTATCAAACAGTGTCACATCAGTTTATCGTCCTGTACAGTGTGACTGTTTGATCCCAGTTTATCCCACTACAGTATCAGACAGTGTCACATCAATTCTGACCAATCGACTGACACAACATTGCAGCGTCCTCAAGTGTTCCACCAAATAACGTTAGTTCTTGCTGTGTTTACTTTGGTAATTCTTGAGACGTTGTCATTGACTACATCACAACCAAACAATTATTCCATAACATTCTGGTGTCATCGTTTGCCACGCGGTTAGCAGCACACGTATTGCATACCAATCGATAAAAGCAAGGCGGTCCGTAGGGACTCGATTGTCACACACGTTCCTTATTGTTACTGTACCAATGTCGGAATACCGAAAAATCTGTTTTTTACAACAATAGTGTTTAAACAACTTTATTGGTGCTCAATGCATTTTACGAGAAAAAGTTGATATTGATATCGGATCTGCTGACTTGAATCATGACACTGTTTATGACAACTATGTGAGGTCGTATAGTACTCGTGAAATATTCTTGAAAAATTAAACTCGGCGATGTTCGATATGGCTTTGGGGTAAAAAAACATTTGGAGAAGATGAAAAATAATGTGCCCAGTACCAACAAGAAAACGTTTGACAAGATGCATCAACACAGCAGTGAAGTGTTTGCTCGTCAAATGATATTTATAATAAAGTACTTGCGCAAAATATTTGATCAGCACGGGCATGTTTTAAAATAATTCGAAAACTATTGGTTTCAATTCATTTCCTGTGTTACATAAATAGTAAGGTATGTTTTGATTGCTAAGCGATTACCTCCCTTACATAATGTATTTCATATAAAAAATACATTCCACTGTCTTTCCACAATCAATTAGCGCAGTAGCACATCCAGGCCGCACTCGAAAGTCACTCCGCTTGTGATGACAGTATTATTCGTTCACTACTTCCACTTTAATATGTTTCACTGTTGTTTTGCCTCATGTGCTGCAAATTCGTATTCGTAAATTTATTTGCACGCCAGTGGAACAAAATGAGTTTGAAATTGTGCATTCTAACATCAATAACTACCACAGCCTATCCCGAAAGATATTCAACTCATATATCTTCTCCACTGCCCCCTGTTCGGACGTTGTCTGTCACAGCAGTGTATATTCTTAAAGCTGTGAAGACCCTTACCAAACACACGCGGTGACATTTATACCACGAGCTGCCGAATCCAGTGGTCACAGAAAATGGTAAAAGTGTTGGAGTTTCTTTATAAATGGAAATATTGTATAACATTTAGGACTTCTGATTTTGTGAGAGATATATTGGTTACACTGGGTTAGTGTTTCTCTTTAGACCGAACCTTTCATAACAATATGAAGAACATTTCTCTCTGTCGACACTGTTGGCTGGGACTGTTTGTAGACCCTTCATTACCAACCGATGCTTGAGGTTTTCGATTTCTTCAAGGACACAGTATTTAATCCTAGTTCTGGAGCGGTTCCTGAAGGAGACGCAGCTACTATTCCAGATCCAATGGTATTATTTGTCATTCGTCCTTTCACATGACCAGGCGTGTTTTGGATGTTGGATACAAACTAAATACACTTTGGTTTGAACTTTATTACATTCTCCCTATATTCGTATTTTACACAAACAATACTGCTCCATGAAGGAAAACCAAGTTCTATGGATAGTCAACGTCTTTATTGCAATGAGTGCGACGTTTCGGTTATCAAGCAAGTGATACAAAGAGTTGTAACATGGAGAATATATACATAGCTGCATAGTGAGGATATACAATTGACAAGGTTGATATACATTGGATTGCTACTTAGTGATTTGATTAAAACAATATGCAGAATGAGCTTATACAATAGATGAGTTGATGTACACTAAGATGGTAATAGTGTGTTGAAGAGAGTAGGTTGATGTACACTATCCATAGAACTTGGTTTCCCTTCATCTATACAACTTCTAAAATGCCTCTCAAAGAAGAAAATACTGCCCCATGCTTAGAAGTCGCCAATAGTTGCTGTACACTGACTTCTGGTTCATCCGTAGTTTAGGATGGTGATCTACCTTCAGTTTTTGGCAACCTATAGCCTGTTTTTATACTGCACTGTCTTCGTAAATAAAATAGTTTTAGATTTATATGCTAGTTTTTACACCCTGTGTGATCCTCTGGTTATTTTACAGTCTTCGATGACTAGTTGTTTAACAACTCGTATGTACTGTTTATGCACAACGTTTCTCTATATGGCTGAAATATTGCCGAGGTGACGTTAAATGTTAACTCTCACTCACTCATCCGTAGTGATTGGTCTATCCTATTATCTGAAGCAATATGTTCGTATCTGAGGATAATTTCAAGGTAACTATGTACTTCGATAATATGAGTCAATACATCACTGATTTGTGATGAATTAGCATAATGTAGTATGAGCGTATGTGTATTTAAGTCAGCTGAAACTGAAAGTCAGCTAATGCCTACTCAGCGCATAAACTTGTTCGTAGCACAGGTAAACTGTGGCGCATAAAGGGTTGCGCAAAAGAGAGAAAAACGACCAGTCTTCCTATATGCGAGAGAAGGGGAGTTAACTCTAAATATACTTGTTGAACCACATGTCCGCCATATGGAATACTTGCGTCGAGTTACATCCCTTGCTTTCATTCACCCCTGCATCAGAAGTGTTTTTTTTAAATAAATGTTACGAAAATTCTAACAAATACGACGGCAGATAAGATAAATAATCCGCAACAGTTTAATGGTAAAATTAGGCAATATGATATTTCTTTTCAATTTCTGCTTATTCTTGTTACTTCACTTCGTTGAGGTTGGGAATCTGAGATTACAACCCAGTGAGGAAATGGGTGTCTACCTTTGATGGTGGCGATATTATATTCTGACATTAAAAATATTTTTCGAACCGAAGCGAGGAAGTACGTTGCCACACCTTTGCTCGCTTTGCTCGCATATAGGAAGACTGGTAATTTTCTCTCTGTTGCGCAACCCTATTAACGCTACAGTTTGCCTGTGTTTGTAGACATTAAATTAATATGTAGGTCAGTCAGAAGGCTATAACGCAAAGAAGGAACAACATGAAGTAAGCCGAAAGCCCATTGGTCAGAACATTCGCTGGTTTCCCGTTGATCTGAGCCAGGCCGTTGACTGATTGGTTGGTTATAAATAGCGACTGGACATCACAGCTGCTGTAGGGTTCCAGGAGGATGAAGGAACGTATCGTGCACAGACCCAGGTAATGACGATACACGTGATACAGAACGTGATACTCAACTGTGTGCCTTTTGGTCTGTGCATCTAAAGTCTCCTCTGTGTGCTGAGTGAGTGAGTGAGTATGGATTTACGCCGCCTCTAGCAATATTCCATCAATATCAGGACGAGTGACAGTGAAGTGGTAAAACACAGTCAGCTTTATTACGGGAGGTAAAACAACAGAAGCTGGGCTAAAGGATTCTCAGTGTTCCACTTCTTGGACTAGAGCAACACACAGTAAGTGGGGTCACGCAGTGTCTGTGTCAAGTGAATGGGTTCTTTTAACAAAACTAATTTGTTGAATTAAATACTGGAGTGTAGGCATCGCTCACACTCAACAATTGTTCACCGAATGCTCCGTGAATTTATCAAAAACATGTCTTCCTACTTCTTATGTGATTGGTTGTATGAATTGAAGCAGTAACAAATAAAAATATTCTGTCTCTGAAAAACATTCTGCGTCAACAGTCCTTGGTGTCTCGTACACGGGTTTATTACCCACGTGGTCAACGTATGGGTAGTTGCATACTAATCTCGTACGTCACACGAGTGTCGTATCGCGTTGACCTGTGTCGTAACAACTTGACCTGAAATTCTAACGATTTGATTGGATAACCGATGACCTCTCAATTAGGTCACATTCTGACGTAACTATATTTTCACTCATAACAAACACGTGAATCCATTCATTCTACAACTTAATGCATTGTGGGAATGTAAACATCGCGAACGTTGCCGTGTCGCTGTTTAATTGTGAGTCGAACTGAGACATTATACCCGTCGAAAAACGTAAACGCATTGTTTCCACCAGTGATGTTAGCCGAATGAAGCAACTGCAAACCAAGAAACGGGGTGCTACGGAGTAGTTTACTGTAGGAGGTTGTACGAGGCGATGACAACTGACATGCATCGTGACGTCGGTTACCAAGGCAGTGACGTCATTACAGTGACGTCATGCAAATATTGCACTACAGTACAAAACTCTTCCGCAACCTCTTTATGAAACCGGTTTCGGTTTGAAACCAAAATATTAACAAAAATACGCTATTTTGTCAATTTAATGCATGTAAGACGTGGGTAATAAATAAAATACCACACTCGGTCTCATTACATACGAATTATACGAAACGAGTGTCCTTCCTATGGTATCTGACCGAGCGAAAGGTCTCATTACATACGAATTATACGAAACTCGTGACCTTCCTATGTTATCTGACCTCGCTTTCGCTCGGTCAGATACCATAGGAAGGACCCGAGTTTCGTATAATTCGTATGTAATGAGACCGAGTGTAGTATTCTCTATGTACGTGCGTGCGTGTTAGTTGAACAGTCGTCGGTATGTCGCTGTACAATGTTCAATAGTATCATACTCATGATTAAATTAAGAAGTACAACCCAATCTTACTTAGACTAATATTGATGTTTATTTCAACATATCAGAACACATCACTGCATGTGTTTTATTGATGGCTGTTTTGGACGGAGTGTCAGTTGAACACATGTGTTCCATCTTGAGGCAATGTTAGCAGGTAACACTCCGATGACGTCTACGAGCACAGATATGGTATATAACAACTACGAATACCGACTTCGAATCAATACCTAGCAGATCCTGGCATCTAAGGGACGATAATCTTCACGGTGACTTGCAGCCCCTTTGACAAATGAGTTATTTCACATGTCCACATTCAACATATGATATGGCGGAGAGATATTTCAGAGTCAAAGTATCCAACATTCAGGTATCGCCTTACAGAACAGGACATACTCGGTGTTCATGGAGAGCTATTAACAGAAGAAAAATATGCCTGTGGAGGTTTTGAAAACAGCATTGTAAACGACAAATTTGTAGCCTTCAATAAAGATGTACTCATCCGGTCGATGTAAACGGAACAAAGCTGTGACGTTCTCCGGTGCCTTTGCCCAATAGTTGCTGGATCCGGTGTCCGTGATTGCGTAACTTCCGGTCTCTGTGTACTCGCTGCCTGACCAACTCATTTCGTAGACGGTGTTGTCACTGATGATGTGGACGTTGTCGGTGGTATTGTCAAGCGAGACGATGGCATCCAGGTTCGTGTTACTGGTGAAATAGGGGGCGAGAATGTTTTGAGGTGGCACGCCCGGGGGACAAGCCTCAAATTTGGTGATGTTTGGATAGAGCGAAGAGAAGCATTTGACTTGATTTCCTTAAAAAAACAGACGGAAATATATCATATTACAATGAACAGTGAAAATAGATAAATGCGAAAATGTGGCTTGTTTCGTCAGGTCACACACCTTTATCTGATGTGTTTTCAGTGTTAGGTACGTTTAATTCTTGTCATTGTCATGCCATGCTACCAACTCTTGGGACGGTTGGCTAGCTAAATCCCCGCCCGTGCTATTATTCCTTGAATGGCGACTCTCTCTCTCTCTCTCTCTCTCTCTCTCTCTCTCTCTCTCTCTCTCTCTCTCTCTCTCTGTCTCTCTCTCTCTCTCTCTATCTCTCTCTATCTATCTCTATCTCTCTCTCTCTCTGTCTATCTCTCTCTCTCTATCTCTTTCTGTCTGTCTCTCTCTCTCTCTCACACACACACTCTCTTTCTCTCTCTCACACACAAACATGCAAAGGCATATATAAAAAGAAGATATAATGTCATGCTACGTGTTTAAACAGTCCATGGGTGGGCACCCATCAGTGATAATCAGGTGCAGTTCCCCAATGTCACCTGTCCCATATGTCTCTAGTATACCCCCAGGTGAACACGTGCGTTTGTCACCTTCATATTACTATTTCATAGTGTTTCATAAACACATGTCTGTGAAAATAACCGGAATCTTAGGATGGACTCTTAGTAGAAATGTCTGGCTTCTATAACACTTCTGGGCTAGCCATTGTCCTTTGTAGGCTGTCTACCCGATTCGATAACTGTTAATGCAAATCACTCGATTTCATCGGAAACTGTACATTAACCCCACGTGTGTCTAGAAAGCACTCTGAAAACTATCACGACTGGCTGGACATGATTTAATCCCCTTCCGGTACATATCAACCAGTGACCGCAAGAAGTCTTGACACTGACGAATTTGGCATTGTGACTGAACCAAGCTTATCAAACAAATTACTTAATCACGATGCGTTATGGATAAATACACTCAGGTAAACCACACAGCGGAGAAGGTAACAATTGTATGGTGCTGGGGCGTCCATATTGTCGCGGTGCTGGAACACCTGTTCATCATCATCGGGAGAGGTGAGCGCTGTGTTTACCTGTTGTCCGGGTAGCCAACAGGGTATTCTGGTGTCGGATTAACAGAGCGTACATTCGATCTAATTAGACCAAACGTCTATGTATATACACATAAACATTAATTGGGCACCTGGATCCAAGGTCATTTTAAAAAGGTTTGGTCCAAACAAAGACTGGCATACTTCAATGCACATGTAAAGCACGTGCTTCACGCAGTTTCTTAAAAGCTATGGGTCGCATGTTCATGAAGTGGACGGCGTTAGACACATTGGGGTATATATTGGGGCAATACCGTTATCGGAACAGATGTCATTGACGACAGTACTATACATGGCAAGACGTGGACATTCTGTCGCGTCATCAGTGCTAACGCGAACATTGACCACATGGTTAGTAGTCGATTTCCGGGAAAGCTCAGGTGAGCCAGTTCGTCTCGTATCCCATGAAACATGCCCGGGAACCGGCAATGGAGACTGGGAGTCGAGCTCTCCACCAACACCATCGGAAGGAGTTTGCTGGTTGCTGCTCTGAGGGAACGTAGTCCGATGACTGCGTTTGGCAACAAAACTTGAAGACCTGGCGTGGGGTTCATTGGTCTCATGAAAGTCGCCATCATCTACACGTTACCGACGGCCGTTGTCGTGACCAGGAGATGATCCATGCAGCTGAATACTTTGGTATTGGCTCTGTGGTGGTGTTGGGTTGTGTTGGTCCTCGTATAACTGCAAGCTGTATCTCATTACAGTACCTGAGACAATCAATCAACGTTACCAACAGGAAGTACTTGATACTCCCGTCGTGCAATACTTTGATAACCACCTCCATGCCAGTCATCTAATGATGGCAACGCTAGACACATTTACAGAACTACGCCATCAAAACAGTTCCATAGCTCGCAAGGAGCCCCGATATACTAGCAGGACCATCTGGGACGCCAAGGTCAAGCTAGAGATACCGCTGTTCCAGATCTGCAGGGACTGACGCAGGCACTTCATCCGATGCTAGGAAATCGGTTTTCAAAGCACCTATAGCAACATGTAGTGTGTTCGTACTTGTCAAAAAGTGGGTGAAGTTTGATTTATTCTATTGGACAGATCCTTGGACAAATCCTGGGTGGGGGAACAAAATTCATTTCAATTTGGTAAGGTAAATTTACACCAGCATTGAACTGAGAAATACAAAACGTTCTGCAACTTAATCATGAGATGGTTTAACCCCGGATCAGTTGTGAACCGAACTAAAGGTCACATAGGTGTGTGCAGGTACAGACGCACCAACGCTCACAATCAGAGGTAATCTGCGCGAGATTTGAACCGTTGTGTTGTTGTTTGGGCAGCAATATTATAGCTGGACTGGACCAGGCAAACCAGTGATTGTTAATATGAACATCGACACACGTTGCCACTTGGCCTGTCCATCCCAGCACCTCGTAGCACAAACATAGGTTACTGGCCCCGCTTCCTATAATGTCCCGTGAAGATCCGGGTTAGAATTTATCTTCAGTAACCCATGCTTGTCGTAAGAGGCGACTAACGGGATCGGGTGATCAGACTCGCTGACTTGGTTGATACATGTCATCGTATCCTAGTTGCGTAGATCGATGCTCATGCTGTTGATCACTGGATTGTCTGGTCCAGACTCGATTATTTACAGACTGCCGCCATATTGCTGTAATATTGCTGAGTGCGGAGTTAAACTACAAACAACAAACTCCCAACAATTACAACCACTGCGATTTGAACTTACCTTGAACGATGTAGGTGTAACTGTTGGGCCCTTGAAACGCTCCATCCACTTCACCCACTAGACCAGGAAAGATTTCAGTATGATGCTTTGCTTGTATACCCCTAAATTGTATTTGTTGGTCAAAGGCTATGATATCGAAGAGATGGCTGATGTTGTCCTCAAACAGTATGAGACGCATCTCAGACGGGTACAAGATTCCTGATGAGAAGTAGCGAACCTTGAAACAGTCTCTCTGAAATAGATATTGTAATACTTTTTAGTTATATCAAAGTTGAAATTCTTTTTTTTATAAACGCCACACTATATGACGGCGGTCTGTATATGGAAATAGTTTGGACCAGAAACTCCAGTGATTAAATGTTTTGTTTGGTGTTAACGCTACACTCAGCAATATTTCAGCCACATAACGGAGGTCTGTAAATAATCAAGTCTGGACCAGATAATCCAGTGTTTGACGTGATTCCATGATTCGCCTCTTAAGACAAGGGCGGATTACTGATGTTGCTACAGTCAGCAAGCCGGGTCATGTTACTAGGCATCAACTTGGTACACATGAACTAGGGGGGTATCATTTATTTTGAACATTACTTACTTACTTTGTACATAAATTATAGTGTGTGGGGTGGGGTAGGGTGGGGTGGGGGTGTCATTCACATAGTACATGCTTCTCCATAGAAATCATCATAAACTTGGTCTCCGTATGTGGTTAATTAGTTTAAAAAGATAGATGCGAGTAATTGTAGTTCTTTACCAAACTGTATTAACATTGTACATGATTTCAAAGAGCCTCAGTGGTAACGTGCGAAATCAGCGCGGTTATAAGCAAGCGCAAATAAAATGTACATATAATCTCTTCCTATCTCATTTGGACAAAGAAAACTATGATATGGGAAATGCATATGTCAAAAAAACTCCACCTTCGACAAAACAGCAGAAATAATAAGTAATTTTGTCGTCAATGAAAAATCGACAATGACGTGAAAACTTTTACGAGTGCTTGCTTCAATATCAGGATGTGTAGAAAATAGCTTGACTGACTGAGTTCGGTTTTACGCCGCTTTTAGCAATATTCCAGCAACATCACGGCGGGGGACACCAGAAATGGGCTTCACACATTGTGCCCATGTGGGGATTCGAACCCGGGTCTTCGGCGTGACGAGCCAACGCTTTAACCATTAGGCTACCCCACCGCCCCGAAAATAGCTTGAAGAGCAATCGATACTAAGTTGCACCAGTTACCGAGAAAGCTGGGATATTTTGGTTACGATGTAAAATTAAGGTTTCATGTAACATTGCCTAAAATGGCCAGACCACCCAACCATGTCAAGTTGCCTCAAGCAATCAAGCAATACAGGACCCCTTCTAACCCGTGTCCCCACAGAACAAGTGGCGTTCTATGTGGTTGTCGTTGGAATGTGTCAGTAGAACAGCCTTCATTGGGACCCGTTCTCTAACCTGTGTCCCCACAGAACAAGTGGCGTTCTGTGTGGTTGTCGTTGGAATGTGTCAGTAGAACAGCCTTCATTGGGACCCGTTTTCTAACCTGTGTCCCCACAGAACAAGTGGCGTTCTGTGTGGTTGTCGTTGGAATGTGTGAGTAGAACAGTCTTCATTGAGTCCCCTTCAGAACAAGTGGCGTTCTATGTGGTTGTCGTTGGAATGTGTGAGTAGAACAGTCCCCATTGGGGCCCGTTCTCCGACCTGTGTCCCCACAGAACAAGTGGCGTTCTATGTGGTTGTCGTGTGGATTGTCAGTAGAACAGTCTCCATTGGGACCCGTTCTCTCTAACCTGTTTTCATTGATAGTATTTGGCAGAGCAGAGTTGCCGTAAAAATGGTATCAATGTCTAACTGAATTTTGATAGTTCAAAACGGCAACTGACAAATTTTGGACATTTTAAGAAAAAATGGTTAGCATCTTCCACCGGAGCACCACAATTGCAAGCTCTACTCTCTGATAGATTAACACGAAACAGATCTGCATGTAATGAACTACACGAATGTCTTAACTTCGTGTGCAGTATATTTGTCTTTCTTTGATTTAAACGATGATAATGAATTTGTTCATTTTGTTGTAGAGGAGAGAGCATTCCATAAACTTGCAGAATCATAAATAAATGACTTTTGGAGAATTGAGGTGCGAAATTTAGGAACAGCCAAATCTGATTTGTTACGCAAGTTGTATCCGGAAATGGTTTCAGTAAAAGGTGGAAGTAAATCTATCAGGTAATCAGGTAAACTTTCAATGGTAACCAACCAGTTTCACTTGAAGCGAATTTAGGCAATCCGGTTACAATTTTTGCTGCTTCAAGTTGTAACATTTCAAATTTATCACAAATATAGCTAGGGCAATTATCCCAGACCTCAGATGCATATTCTAAAAATAGGCTTAATATACATTTCGTACATACTAGAAAGGATATATCTAGGTAATACGTACTTTAGCGTCCGTAATGAGGAAACAATTTTTGCGGCCTTTTCTATTACAGCAGATACATGATGAGACCATTTTGTATTATCTGAAAAGATGACACCGAGGTGTTTATGTTGATGTACACGTTCCAAATGTTCATTATTGAAAATCAAGTCAGGAACTTGTGGACAATTTCCATTTGTAAAAACATGAATCTGGTCTTGTTTGGGTTAAACTTAACTAACCATTTGTCAGCCCATTCATTCAATTTTGCTAAATCATAGTTAAGAGTAGCTTCTATGGTTCTTACATCTTTTCTTGCAACACCAATTGAAGTGTCGTCGGCAAACAGTCTTGTGACATTTGTTAGAGTTTCAGGTGAACAGTCTTCATTGGGACCCGTTCCCACAGAACAAGTGGCGTTCTGTGTGGTTGTCGTTGGAATGTGTGAGTAGAACAGCCTTCATTGGGACCCGTTTTCAGAACAAAGTGGCGTTCTGTGTGGTTGTCCCCACAGTGTGAGTAAACAGCGTTCATGTGAGGGTTGTCGTTGGAATGTGTGAGTAGAACAGTCTCCATTGGGGCCCGTTCTCTAACCTGTGTCCCCACAGAACAAGTGGCGTTCTATGTGGTTGTCGTGTGGATGTGTCAGTAGAACAGTCTCCATTGGGACCCGTTCTGACCTGTATTAGAACTAATAGAAATATTAACCAGACACTTCGTTTGCATGTTTTACCATTCCAGAAGCTGGAAAGCGACCATGCCAAGTTGTTAAATAATAGCATGTATTCTTTCCGAACATTGAAAAAATAGATGCAGGATATTTCAGGACATCAAGCATATGGAAACAGACGTTATTAATAGCACGCTGAGAATCTGAATAGGCCTCAAAAGCTTTTATCAATAGCAAATATTAACCAACATCTCACAGTACTATGTACGTGATGTATTCAGACTGGTTCCACTTAGTCTCGCAGAACTCCTCCTGGTGTGTGCCCAACTGTTACTGCTTACAGTACTCAGTGTCAGACCAGACAAAAGATGGCTGTAACAGATTCTAACGGAAATAAAATGATTGTTTGCCCCTGTGGCGCGCGTGACAACACAAACGTGGACGGTACTCGGGACGTGAGAATGGTTTCCATTGATCTATATTCACGATTGTTTACGTCCGGTCAGGATCTTTCCGAATTTTAGAAAACAACCTGAAGTAATGATTGTGCTAAACCAACAGCTTGGTGTATTTATATTTTTGCCCTGACAGAAATAATACACTACTGCCCTTTACCTTGATCATATGTATGCACTCCGTAAATACGCAGTTCATACGGGTGTCAGACCTCGCTCCACCTCGAGGTCTATTTGTGTTTCTGTTCCCTGTAGAAGTGGATTGCTTCCTGATGGCCAAAACATCTAAACAGTTTCAGAATCAATTTGTGTATAGATCTTCAATATCGATTTCAAACTCAATAATTCTGTCATCCAACAGGGAAGGCTAGTAAACGCATTAAGCCATGGATGGCAATCTGCAAACTAAAGCTTTACCACAAAAAGTGGTCCTATGGAAATTCCATGGAACAAACATAAAAACACGTGGTAATCTTAATTAAGATCCAATAATGAAGCATACAAATTGATGGATGACAACATCTTGTTTATCGTATCCATAAAGTTGTATGCTTCATTGTTGACTCACCAACTTCTAAATGCAGATCAAGCATTAATTAAGAGTCAGTTGAAATGAGAATTATTTTTTTTCACAAAGAAATCCTATCTGGTGTCTTTAACCGCGGAGCGTTGGGGTAGCCTAGTGGTTAAAGTGTTCGCCCATAACGCCTATGACCTTCGATTACCCTCATGGGTACAATGTTTTAAGCCCATTTTTTGTGTTCCCCGCCGTGATATTGCTGGAATATCGCTAAAAACTGCGTAAAGCCTAATTGACTCACTCACTAGCACTATCAACCGTCCTTGTTAGATTCACGATATCAAAAAGAAAACCTCCAGAACATAATTTTATGTCATTCATTCAATTGTAGGGGTCGAGAGAGGGACAGAGAGGGCGATGTGGGGTGGTTGGAGATGTAGAGACAGAGAGAGAGAGAGAGCAGGGGAGGGGGTTCATTTATGTGCATTTGTGTGCGTGCATGCGTGCATGCGTGCGTGTCTGTGTGTAAAACGGCAAGTTAATACTACTGTCAACGATGATTGTATGTTATAACTTCCTCCACTAACCACGTGGTAGAATCTAGATGTAACAACGTTTTTCTTTAATATCGCGGTAGGTCAGAGTCGAGTCACTGTACATTTGATACCTCTAACAAGTCAAGGGTAAATCAAAGGCTCTCAAACTAATGACACCCACCTCAGAAGTTAAAACCTCATTGATCCATCGCCTTATCAACGGGTCATCGACTGTGCTTGTATGTTACTAATAAAATCCTGTGCGATGGTAATAATAATAATAATGTGTCCATTTATATAGCGCCAAACTCCGCACTAGGTATGCTCATAGCGCTAACAATCAAGGCACAGCACATTATTACCCCGGATAACCCAAGATTCTACCAATGGTACAGTTATATGAACATGGTTATGAGAGAGAAAATATATGAAGGAGGCATCATAGTTACCTTTTCGAAGTATTTCTGTTGTGGTGTGGGAGTCATGATGCTGTTGTAGGTTAGTGATTTGAACGTGTAGCAGATCCCTTTCCTGGACGAAGGGTCAGTCTTGTGGAACTGGAAAGCTTGGCAGGATTGGTCATCAGAGCAAAACCGGGAACACTGCACCGCCGTAAGGAGGCCCAGGCTGGTACCCTGATTCACATTCTGACCATATTCGGACAGGCCGTAGGGCGAGTACCAGTATTGTCTGAAGCCACTGGCACCGTCGGCTCCTTTCGTCACCGTCAACAACAGCACTAACGTTGTTAATAAGCTCAGAGCCGAATTCTGTGACATTGGTGAATCTGGTTTTGATTTCAAGTTTTCAATTAGTTAATCTCGACACTCCTCGTGTTTTATGGGTATGTCAACGCGCGGATATCCTTTGTGGGACGAATGGATGATATTTGTCCGAGTTGTCCCAGTTCTAAGATATTCAAATGTTCAGAAATATCAACTTAAGATGTAAAGACACTGGTTTACGAGTAAATCCTTTTGTATCCATGGAACAAGGGTTGCTCTGAACTTTTGTCAAGTCGACAATAAGCATTTGTTATATTGTTATTTATGATAGTCGGTATTATTCTTCGACGCCAATCATGACACAAGTAAATCCAGGTTCTGTCTCGCAGAAGAAACGACGACAAACGTATTTGTACAGAGGTAAAATGCATCTGAACCACAGACAGATTCCCATTGGTTACCGCTTCAGAGAGACCGGGAACCGTTTTGGCGATGCTGCATTGTCTTAACCGTAAACGAAGAACATAGCTCGAAGAACTGAACCATTCAACATCATCGTTTGATCTCGTTTTAGTGTATGCAATATGCACGAATAATGTATATTAATACCAGCCTTTTCAAAAAGTATTTATAAAACGTAAAACAATTTTGTGTTATTATTTTGTACTATTGGTATGGTTTACTATGGGATGTCCAAATATATTAAGTGGTTCATGTACATGGCGCTTTCTTGCCACTCAAACGACGCAGATTCGGTCACGTGTGATTTCATGCGTATTCCTTGATACAAGTAGATTTCAAGGTCGGTGACATTAACATTGTCGCTCCTTCGCAACCTCTATGTAACAGATCGATTCGATCACCACAGTCACACATACATGGTTTTGCTAGGTACTCATTATGAGCAGCAGCTTAACACAAGGCCGACAATGGGAGTGAGAGGGAAACAAACGACTGTTTATTCAGAGAACAACATAGATATTTCTTGTATTGATTCAGTTTCCCCAACGAAAGTTAAACACTAATTGCAATGAGAGTAATTTTAAGGATAAAACCTAGTCTCTCAAGGGATCGTGGCTTGTGGTTAACAATCTTCAAATTACTTAATAAAACGTTTCTTTATTGATTTTTCCTCGTTCGCTCCATTTAAAACAATTAATGACATGGTAAAGATAATTTTAAAAACATCGTCACGCATCCTTATTTCTTGAAAGGGAACTGGAAATATACTGTTATGTGGTATGGTGTTTGAGTGCGTTTACTGAAGTATACAACAGGAATACATCATTCACACTTTGTTCTTGGGAAATCCGCCAATAATTAAAGCACCCAACTGTTAACCGTATTTCCATTATCGCTCGTGTCTTAATGCGTATTGTGGCAAGTTGAGGACCCTATTTTGTCCTAAAGTTTAATTCAAGTGAATGAGTGCATGTTTTATACACATAAGTGTGTGAACGTCCGATTGAATCTATCATTGTCTTTGTCTACTGACCCAAACGATTGTTTGTCTTGAACCGAGTTTCATACTTGCATTAACCCAATGGCCGCTGCCTTAATCCAACAATACAACTATCAACACACTGCCATCACGCTGAACATTAAAAACTTGTAATCAATGATTAGAATAGATTGAGCGTTTATTATCAACTTAAAACAGCATTTTTTTAGAAATTCTAGTTATGACCTCAGATTTGATGAATCTATTTCAGCACAAAATGGTGGCAATAGACCCTTACCAGATGCCAGGCATTTCCTCTTGTTATTAAACTAACGGTATTCGGAGTCAACTACAGCGGTAAATGTCAACGACCTGTCACAGATGACAAACTGTGAAATATCTGAAAAATCAATAAACTACCAACAAGCAAGCGGATATCTTCTTTCGTTAATTGACTGACTGACTGACTGAGTTTAGTTTTACGCCGCTTTTAGCAATATTCCAGCAATATCACAGGGGGGACACCAGAAATGGGCTTAACACATTGTACCCATGTGGGGAATCAAACCCGGGCCTTCGGCGTGACGAGCCAACGCTTTAACCACTAGGCTACCCCACCGCCCCTTCGTTAATTGAAGTTGAACTATCATAAATATAATTAGACCCACTGCAAATGTTCATATTTACCTTGCACAAAAATTGTATTCACTATCTAAATATTTGGATGAACTTACAGGATCTTCTGCTTAATGTATCAAAACATCAAGTAACCAATTTTTGGTTTGGAAAAAAAACCAAAAACGCACACAAAAATATGATGCTCGTTCAATAAAAAGCAGAACATCAAACTGAAAAAGAAATGTTAAAACGATTTAAAAGCAATACATATATTTGGTTTAATGTTTCTACTGGACGACATATGCTCAGATTGTCTCATACATGACTGATGCAGTAACGTACTCTAATACATAGCCCTTTAGATTGAACCGTATAGGATGTTGGGGCCCAATGTTGCAGCAAGGGAGAATGTATTGCTTTTCTCGAGCCCGGCCCTTCTAAGATTGTGTCTGATGTTAGTATAACGGGGACACTCCAATAGGTAGTGCTGTACAGTTTCAGGCGTCTTATCCCTGCATTGGTCACAAAGAGGTGATACTTCTTTATCAACAATACTTCTGTGGGCATTAAGTGCGCAGTGACCAAGACGAAGTCTAGTTCATCACGTCTCTTACGACGGCGAACTTTGTGATACTGAAGGACAGAGTCTGTATACATGTCTTCCAGTAGATCAAACATCCCACAGGTTTTGCCATTGGATGGAGACCGACTTCCCAATGGCACATTCGAAATCTCTTTGGCAAGGCCTCAATTCAAAATTATCAACCTCATCCTTTAGCAACCCTGACTTGGCAAGATTATCCGCTGTTTCATTACCCTGCAAACCGACTTGAGCTGGTACCCATACAATATCACATGAGATATATTTAGTATTCAAATATGTGTCCAGTTTCAAAATTTCATAAACAATATCATTCCTGGACCCATTTACTCTAGTCTAAATGTGTGTAAAATCTGCATATCATTCCCGAATAAAATCCTCAGAAATCGCTCTCACCATATTTGGGTTCATATTCTTCTGAACGATGGAACTGAGTTCATAGCATAGTCGAGGGAGCAGTTTCAGAAGGTGTAGATGGATTTACTGGACTCAAGTGAACAACTCCATGTTGTGCTGCTAATTTCAGAATGTTTAAACCAAACAGAATCTTACCATGAGACGGCCAGTCACACAAGACATAGTCCACACAATCATTAAGTACATCCGACACTGAATGATAGCTGTCCAGTCTTCATCTTCATAAAGTATTTCGGGGATATATTTTGGCGTCTGAGAAACAAGGGCAAGTCAGAACACTCAACCAGAAGAACCGAGACTAGAGTAGTTACAAAAGCTCCAGTGCAAATTCTAACAGCTCTAGATTGAATGCGATCAAGTTTGATGAGGTGACTTTTTGAAGCTGACATGTAGACTTGGCAGCCATAGTCAATCCTCGACAAGATAAGTGCTTTATATAGTAATAACATAGTAGATTTATCAGCTCATTGTGTTTTAGACACACACTTCAATTGATTAAGGACATTGTTACAACGGCTACAAAGAAATGATATATGTCTTGACCATGTAAGTCTCTGATCAAAATACACTTCCAGGAATTTGAATTCTGATACAACATCTAGCTTATGGTTCACAAGGGATAGCTCCATCTTTGAAGGAATTTCCCGGCGAGTGATCATCATAGCTACTGATTTTGAATGGGATATTTTGAAACCCCATTTGGAACACCAAACATTAATCAACTCTAAACATTTTTAATTGATTCTTTAACAAACTGAAAGTTACCAAATCGTCTCCAGAATGAACCATCATCTGCAAACAGAGCAGCATCAACATTAACAGGTAGGTCGATGAAAAAGTCGTTTATCATGATATTAAACAAAACTGGACTAATTACACTTCCTTGTGGAGTACCATTTTCTATGATGTGCATACCAGAAAGTTCTGAACCAATACGAACCTGAACGATCCTTTCAGATAGAAATGACTGAATCCATCTAAACATGTTACCTTTTATTCCAAGCTTTTGCAATTTAAAAAGCAAACCCTTTCGCTAGATCATATCATATGCCTTTTCAATATCAAGAAATACACACAACATATGCTCTGTCAGTGCATGAGCGACCTTTTCGAAACCCTGCTTGGATTCTGGATAAAACCTTGTTTTTCTCAAGATAATAAGTCAAGCGGTTGGTAACTATTCTTTCCATAAGTTTGCATGAATTCGACGTAAGAGAAATTGGCCTACACGATGAGAGTGGTCTTTACCTGGCTACAGTACAGGTATGGTTATGGGATGCCTCAAAGCCTTGGGAACAGATCCAGCATGCCAGCACTTATTCAAAAGCTTGCGAATAATTTCAAGAGCAGAATCAGACATTAAACAACTCATAGCACAAATTATCTGCTCCGGGAGAAGAGTTGTGGGCTTTAGAGATTGTCCCTTTGACCTCATCATTTGTAATTGGTGTATATAAATCTGAAGAAACATCAGCCGTAGCCCGGGAACTATCTGGCATAAACTCAGCTTCGTGGGGTTTCCTTCAAATCTTGAAAGCCTTGAAGAAATTTTCAGAACTACTTGCACTCTTAAACTGTTCTTCCAGCCTGTGCGCCTTTTAACTATTCGTCACTATGTTACCAAATATGCCCATAGCAGGAATAGGAGACCTGTCATTTCTGCCACATCATTATTGTAAGCCTTTTTCTAGCTCTGTTGGCCTTTTCACATTCCTGATTCCACCAGGGTTTGGGGGCTAAAGCTGGATGTTTATTTGCAGAAGACATTCCAATAGATGCCTGAGCAATTTCAACAATCTGTTTAGTTATATTATACTCTTCAAAAATAAAAACTTGACATGCTGTTTTGAAGTTTACTTACTGAATGCATATAACTGATTCAAACACGACATCATTGCTCAATTACAGTAAAATCATCACTTTACAAATTTCCAAAACATGATTATCCAGAAAGTGTTTGGTAAAACTACAGAGGGCCATTAGAGCCACTTGGTCAGAGTAAAATGTCAGTATCTGGTGTAACCACCATGAGTATCGATAACAGCTTGGCAGCAGTGACCCATAGAAGGAAGGAAATGCCGAATGCTGTCTTGAGGAATGTTTTGATACTCTTGTTGAAGTGCAGTGTGCAGTTCTTGTAGTGTCTGAGGTGGCGGAATACGCTGGCACAAGCGTCGATCAAGAGTATCCCATAGATGTTCAGTGGGGGACAAATCGGGTGATCGAGGAGGGCAAGAACGAACATTGTTCTGCTGGAGGAAGTCCTGTCAAAACACGTGCAACGTGAGGTCGAGCAACCGTTGATGTTGATGAAGG